TTACAGCAACACTATGTAAATACAATTAATGACATGTTCATTCGCAGTTTTTACAAATTAACGTGGCCCAATTAAAAAAATATAAATAACAAGTTGTCCAAAAAGATTAATTCAATGTATACAAATACAAAAAAGTAGACACTAATACTAAAATATCTGTGATCCATATCAATAATTCATTTATTTCAAGCAGCCTACATAAAAAAATAAAATATAAATTAAAAGTTATAAAAATAAAATATTTTGAAGTATTTGTAATACCTATGAACTATTTGATTTAATTATCAATTGATTGACTTGTCATACTAAAAAACTCTACAAGCATAATTAACAAACACAAATAAACTAAAAATTGTTCAACTTAATTAGTTAATTTTCTAATTTGTTTAGAAAAAATTAAAATAATTTAATTAATTCAATATAAAAAATTTTAAAAAATATTTTGATTTGGTTTTTGGTTTAGAATGAGAACCGAACCAAATCCATCGATTCTCGATTCAAATACTCGTTCGGGTATTTAACTTATGAAGAACTGCTCGGTTCGGTTCTGTTCGAAAGTTTTGTCCATCCCTAAATATAATTGAGAGATTTATTTCACTGATTATAATAAAATAGTTTATGCGGGTTTTAAGAATAGAAAAAAAATCGGAGAAAATAATTCGAAAAACAAGCTTTATTGGTTTTTTTCTTGATAAAATATTCAAAATTAAATAGCAAAAAGAAAAGAATATATAACATTACACGTAAACCTTCGTTTGAATTCACCTTTCATGAAATAGCCAAACATATTTTAGTTCAAGTGGGAACACTAGATTTTATGAAAAACCTAAAAGAATCATTCTACAAGTACATTAAGTTTCACATCAAGTTTTGCATTGTTCCACGTGGCGCTATCACATTGGACAGTTTTTGAATTTAACACACTTTCCCTCCAAACCGTTTTTTAATTGGACAGTTTTTGAATTTAACACACTTTCCCTCCAAACCGTTTTTGAATATACATACAATGTCAAATTTCATGTAAAGCAAAGACCGTACAAATAGCATTATTCAACCTAAAATAATATAATCAATGATTGAGACATGGAATCATAGTACTGAAAGTACGTAGGAACTTACCTCGTAGAAATGAATTGGAATTTGAAAAGGGAACTTGAATTAGAATTTCTCCATGACCAAAATGCACGATGGGTTGGTCCAACCATGCGCGATGAATTATCATTATTCATCACGATATAATCATATTTCGGATTAAATGATTTTTATTTTTATTTTCTCGAAAGAGTGTGATATTTTTTATTGTGTACTTCATTAATAAAGTAACATAATGATATATAAAAAAATCATATTCCTTTTTCCAGTCTCTTTTATTCGCGCTTTACGCATACGACTTATGCTAATGTCAGCCATGCATCATTCTATATTTTCACAACTTCTTAGTTCAAGGCTACTCTTATGCCGCACCTATGATGAGATTTACTTCAAATTGTACTAGTTCGAAGTATCCGACCCCTCCAATCGACAAATTCTTGAAACTCAACCACCTCCACCCAATCCAACCTAAAAGAACCATTGCTATATCATTGCAACTCATTTTCCTAATGAAAATTAGTCAAACACAAAGGAAGCAAACTTGGGAGAATATCCAAAGACAAGACTAGTTCCAAGAAATTACAAAGAAACTTTGAGGTTTTAATAATATCCAAGAAGTTGCTTAATGCTTCTACTTTGTACCCTTTAAGCTTAATTGATGTTTCCCTAAGTTTCAAATGTTTACTTATACTTAAAAGAGTAAGTTCTAAGAAAAAACCACTATTTTTATTGGTGAACATTAAAAATTAATAAGTTATTTATTTTGGCAGTTAAAATCACCTTTATTCTAATTTTTTTTAAAACTCATTTCCAATCATTCGTTCTCCCCTTTAAAATAAATGTATACATAAATCCATAACTTTTCTGTCTTTTTAACCATACATTCTTTAAAAAAAAAAAATCCCTTTTCACGAAATGTATATTCAAAATTACTTTACCAAATAGGGACTAAGCCCCTATTTGATATCCATTATTTTGAGAAAATTGAGTTTTGAATAATGATGTTTTGGAGAATATGCGATTAAAAAGTATGAAAACATTTTGAGTTTACGTATAAAATCTTTTATCGTGTAAATTTGTAGTTAAAAATGAATGTGAGAATTAAAAAAATTGAAATAATGATTGTCAAACGGGGCTAAGTAAAACGCCGTTTTACTTTAAAGATAAAATAAGCGGTCCTTACATTAAGCTTAAAAAAATTACTTAAAATCAACTTTTCTTTTCTTGAGGTTTAGTCAAACACGGTTGATAACTACCTCGACTTTCCCACTGAACAAACAATAATAAGTACAAATTCAAAGCTCAATCTTCTTATGCTCTTTTTATGCCATCAGATGTAATGGTTACACAAAAAAAAAAACCTCTTTTCTATGCAATTTTGTGGAGACATTGGAAGCGATAAACTGATGTGAATGGATATTCAAATCATGGATGATAATAACATAATTAATTAAAAAATAAAAAAGAAATTAAAAAATATTTCGTCTATGAAATCAATGTATTTAATAGGTTACGTGTCCTCCCTTTTGACGCTTTCGCAGTTAATTTATAAATAATTCAAATTTTCAAAGAAAGTAAATTACTCATTAAACTTTATAACGCGTATAGAATTCTTTAAATCGTGACCTCCTATTCTATATACACGTGTCCAACGACTTTGAATTGAAATTCGAGGACAAATTGCAACTTGTCCCCACGAGATTTTTCTGATTTTTGGAATTACCCTCTTCAATTCGAAAATCACTTGACAACCCCCCTTCAAAATTGTCAATTTATTTTTGTTGTATCATCATAAAAGTATTTTAATTTTGTAGTATTGCAATTAACTACGAGTGCATCCAAGGGTGATTTGAACTTGATTTGTGACAATTTGAAAATTCAGCTTTGATACACGTAAGTCGAGCCATTTAATTGAACATTTAATGTTAATGCTCTTAATCCAGTGATCATAAGTATAATTTTTAGAAATTGACTATTTATTATTTTATCTTAAAAGAATAATTTCGATGACCACATAATTAATCAAAACTTTAGCAAATGCATTTAACAATGTAAACACGAGTTAAATGTTTTATTAGTTACTGAAATTATACTTTCATCTCGCTTTACTTATCGAACTTTAAAATACTTTCGAATAGTCATTGAACTTTAACACGTTACACTACAACATTCACTTACCATGTTTCGTTAATTACTGAATTTAAAAAAAAAATGCTTTTAAGTGATCGTTAAAATTTAAAATGTTGTACTCCATCAGTCACTCGCCCTTTTTCATTAGTCATTGAGCTTATACTTTCATCACGCTTTACTCACTTATTAATATTTTGAATTGCCTTGTGACAACTTTAAAAATTATAGTTTTGTTAATCTTGATTAATATTGTTGACTTTAAATCGAAAATTTCGTTGCCTGTTTGAGATATAATTTTTAATTTTTTTTTATTTGAGTTTAAGATATCAATCAAAATAAAGAAATAATTTCTCTATTTTATTTTCTCAACGCAAAGGAAGATTATGATCTAAATTAAAATTTATGTTAATTTGAAACTAGTATTCTTCTTTCCCATTGAATTTAACTTTTAATGATCGGTGAAATTATATTTTCTTGACCAATAACAATATGTTTGCTTTAAGATTGAAAGCCTCATTATCTAGTTGATATTTTATTTCATTTTATTTTCTTGATAAGAGGTCAAATTTCATGGAAAATCAACTTTATTAGAAAATATGAAAAAGTTTAGTAACCACTCAAATGCATTTTAAAATTTACCGAGTGAAGCGTGATGAAAGAATAAGTTCAATTACTAATAAAATATGGTGAGCGAATAATAGAGTGCAATATGATAAAATAAATAACAATGTTATTTATACATCCATGAGTTGACGTCTTGGATTACACCTCCATGTGAGGGGGGTGTCATTCGTCGTGGGCCAACCGCCATGCGAAGGGGAGTCATCCAGGATATTAACCCTATACATAACACGATTTTAAAATTAATCATCATTTTGAAGCATTTTTAAAATTTAACAACTAATGAAATATGATGATAGAATGAAATAGTGTAATGTGTTAAATTTCAGTGACAAATCATAAGTATATTTTAAAATTGGGTGAATAAAAAGTATAAGTTCAGTAGCTTATGAAAGATTTAACTCATATAAACACCGTCACACACTCGAACACAACACAAAGTCTTTGCAAGTCTTCGTTTGTCTTTTAATTTATTCAGCTAAACGGGCCACCATTTCTCTTCTGCGCGTGCTTCGCCGTGTCGAATTTTCGGCCAAGCTTCTATCTTGTTCCTCAGGTATAGATGTATATGTGTAAACACACCTCTCACTATCGAACTAGTCAACCTCCCCGCGTTTCGTTGTCTTGTTTTTCTCTCTTTTACATTAATTTTTTTTTTCATTATTCTTGTTTTTGTGCTTCTTAGATTTGTACTCGACCGGTACTTTCAAATTTTACGCGGTTGTTCATTTGATTGTGATGTTTATAGTTGGTTGAACGTCCATTATTTATATTTCAGTCAAGATTGTGTGTATAACTCAATGTTAACTATATTGAAGCGTGTTGAAAATCCCTTTTATACCATCGAATATCTGAACCTTGATTATCAAAGAAATTTAATTCCAGACCCCACAGGACTGCAAGCATACCCACACACGAACACATTGCATTTGTGGGCTAACGTTAGAGGATGGTTACTATAAATGTATGGCATATGTGCTTGACTATTATGATTTGTGTGATATTTTAATCACAAATTGAAGCTTCCTGGGTAATTTCTTGTATCTTAATCACACGCTGACATCTATATATAAGAGAGTAAGTTTGGGAGTTTAGAGTTACCTGCCCTTGATAATCTTTAAATCAGTTCTTTAAGCTTTGTGAATCTTGAGTTTTTGATGGTACTGAAACGGCCACTTTGGGACGGGGGTGAGGAAAGTTCTGAACTTCCAGATAGTGAATTTAAACGCCAGCATTTTCTTGCAACGTGGGTGAATTAGTTCTTGATATATGTTTGTAATTGATTTAGATGATTGTTTATTTATTTGCTGATTATGTTTCTCTTAAACGTGGTATGTACAGGGCTTTCGGAGAGTTAGAGGATGGTCAGGCTGTCCAAGAACTTGTGCACAAATTGGAACCCTTCTTTCGGAATGTGGTATGATCTTTTGTTCTTTTTAAGTCACGAGCGACTTACTTCTATCGTATTGAAGTTCTTGTATTTGTGGAATATTATATCTTTGTGGATTTGTGCTAATGATGAACGTTAGTATTTCATAAGATTTTGATGATTTTTCATATTTCCTTTCTGTATATACACTTCTCGTTAATCCTTTATGAAATCGAAGTTTGGTTGCCACACTTCAATTCTTTCACATAAGTTGTGGAAGGTTTTGCACTTTTTACCAGTTAATTACGTTTCTATACTGGGTTCTTCATTTAAATATCGATTTTCAGATAAGAAGTGGCTAAAATGTGCAAGTTAGAGCGCATTTTTTCACTCTCTATATTCACTATTCTGTTGTCTTAATAGGTGCGAGAAGAGGTTGAACGTGCAATCCATCCATTTATGAGGTTTGTCCATCCGTCAATACTTTTTGAAAAATTAAAATATAATGTTTGAATCATCACTTTGCAATCCATTTTAATTAACTTTCATCAGTTTCCACGGTTGATTCAGCCTATAGCAAAAATTAACTGTGATTATTATTGTCTATTCACATATGCTTTAATCACTAAATGATCTTTTCCCACTCTGTACTTCGTTAATATTCTAAAAAGTGCTATAAATGTTTCTTTTAGACCCTCGCAAAATCAAATCGAGAGCTCTGGATCAAGAACGTGGCAGCTGCGTTTTGGCAGTGAATTGCCTGGTACCATTTTCACAGGCAATAGGATACTATCTGACGACAGAAGACCAGTCAAACTTGTTCTGTATGATTCAGGTTCTGGGAACCTAATAACATCAGGGCCCTTATCTTCACTGAAGGTCAATGTTGTTGTTCTTGATGGTGATTTTAGTCCTGATGATCATAACAACTGGACGGAGAAAGATTTCGTGAGTAAAATTGTACCGAATAGAGAAGGAAAAAGGCCATTGGTCACTGGAGAATTGTCAGTCCAATTGACAGAGGGAGTAGGTTATATTGGTGAAGCCAACTTCACTGATAATTCAAGCTGGATCAGGAGTGGGAGATTTAGGTTGGGTTTGAAAGCGAATGCTAATTCCACTATAAGGGAAGGAATAAGCAAAGCCTTCAAAGTAAAAGATCATCGTGGAGAGTGTAAGTAATTCTTCCGAACCATTTTCTATTAGCGAGTTTTTGATTAACAAAGGGGGTAATTTCTTTTTTCTACTGTTATTCCTGGAGCTCTTTATAATATTTTATTTGAGTCTAATATTGGGGAGAAAGTTGTGGGTAAATGAAATTAAGCATTTGTTTAGTTGATAAGCATAGAATGTTTTTCTTCTAGTTGCACCATTGATTTTAGGTAAACTTCATATACGGATGAACTTTGAAAAATTGTTTATTGATATATCATTATTTGTTTAGCATACAAGAAACACTACCCTCCATCCTTGGATGATGAAGTATGGCGCTTGGAGAAGATAGCGAAAGATGGTGCATCCCATAAACGGTTGGCTCAGAGTGATATATCCTCTGTCGGAGACTTTTTGAGGTTGTACGTCACAAACCAGTCCTCCCTACGCTCCGTAAGACACTCAATTCATAATATCTTTTGTGTGACGTTAAATCACTTAAATGGATAGGATTCTACGTTCTTGACAAGTTCTTTAGGGTAACCATCTAACGCTAAATTTTGATCATGTAGTTACTCAACATCTCAAACAGGAAGTGGGATACAATCATCAGACACGCTACAAATTGCAATTTGGATGACAAATTGTACTTGTACATTAGTGCAGATGGGATCAGGCTTTTCTTCAACTGCATCTACAATCTTGTAGGAGCTACTTTTGAAGGACCGAATTACCTTTCCTTGGATAAACTCAATATGTATCAGATGGTTGGTATCTTCATCCTCAATTTTTTTTTTCCTGATTTTTCTTTGTCTGGCTTGATTGGAGTGCTTCTGTTTCAATAACATGAATTATGTCATTTCAAAAATTGCTATATTGCATACACCTTTGCTGACATCGAATATTATGAGAATTAAGGACCAGTGTATATGCTTTAATCAGTACTCCGCCCCATACTTGTAAATGTGTTGCATAAAAGCTTTTTTGATTGAGAAGTTTCATATTCTAATGTAAATTTAATTTGACTTCCCTATTTGTTGGACAGCGAATTGTGGAGAATCTGAAACAGCATGTTTATAGAAACTTAAAGGACTTGGTGCCCATTGCTGACCAATCAGCTGTTGACTACCCGATGCTATTGCCAAGTGTTGGAGCAGACAATTTTAACTATCCTTCTTCAAGTATGCAGAATGCTAATTTCCCAGTTCAACAAGGTAATTAACTGTTGAACCCTTTTCTCTTTTGCCTTTATCCTTCTCATGAATATGTTGTCATATTAGTAGCTTTGCCAAATTACCTTTTGTTGTTCTTTTCTCTTTTGCCTTTATCTTGGATTTGACTGAAACAACTCTTTTTTCTTTACATATCAACTAGAAATGCAGACGAACCTTGCTCATCCAACTTCACCACTATTTAATTACGAAGCGGAACAAGAATATAGTCCGATGCAAGGATTCAATTCGACATCGGGAAACAGTTTTGGGATGAGTGATTCTCCGAGCGGATCCTATATGGGAGCAGATACTTGGGCTTCTGGAGGTAACTATGCGGGCTCATATATGTCAATTAATGATCCAAGTGCCGATAATTTTCTGGTTGAGTCCTCAGCATTCCGAGGGGATGACTTGTTTCTGGGTTCAACCACCCAAGAAATGGGCACCTTTTCCTCTAATCCTGGAATTTGTGTCCCCAGGAACAGAAAGCACAAAACAAGATGGTGTAAGGTTCTGGCTGTAGTTAAGTGGCATTTGGTTAGGAGGAAAGTAGCTGCAAGAAAATGGAAGCGACTCTGCGGCTATATGTAGATTTCTCTAGTTCCATCCTTAGAAAATGACCATGAAAGCATTGAAGTCGAGCTCTATCTCTGGCAATAGGTTATATTTTTATAATGAGTAATGCTATTTAGCACCACTGGTACAGTGTAAGTAACAGTACTAGTGACATTAAATTACAGGTTCAATTAAATGAATCACAGAGTTTCACATTTAATTGAACTTATCACATGATGCCACATAAACTGATGTTTTAGAACCGTTGGTGCTAAATAGCATTATTATTGTATAATAGTCTCTATATTGAGAGTCATATATTACCCTTTGTTGTTAGTGGGACAGAGGAATGTTGTACATAGTTTCTTGTAACGGTAATCGGGCGTCAGATCAAGCATCCGAGAAGATTTGCTTGTGAAAAAAATGGCAAAGTATCCATGTTAAGCATCCGGTTGCTGTCTTAGTCGACTTGGTATCGTGTTGTATTGTTGTCATGTGGTCTTTCATGTGTCACCAATGGAGTAATTGTGATAAAAGTTCCACGATATTCCTAATGATAAGACAATTGAGTTCATTTACTTCTGAGTTTAACCAAACACGACTATAGTTTGAAAAAAATTCATGGGTCAGAGATTATCTTCACGAAATCAAAAATCAAGTCCCAAGGTTTAAATTTACAAAACTCAAGTTTTACAATTAATCTATTAAATTTAATATTTAACTGTAATATAATATAATTGACCTACCCCACTCCACCCCACCTCTACTGCTCCAGCGACTATTCTGATGATCGGCGACTACTCCGGCAACCAATGACTGTTCTCTGGTCGTGCTTAATTTCGGTGACTAATTTTCGGTGACCGTTGGCCACCACTTAATTTCGATAATTGCTGCGATTCCAAGGTCACAGATATCTTATTAAGAGCATGTTTGCTCAAGATTAAAATCCAATTTTAATTGAAAATATGGCCGTTATTGGGTCCACTCGTCTAATAAAAGTCAACAATAACGGCTAGTTTTTCAATTTTAATCCAATTTTAATCTCTACCAAACGGGCTCTAAGTAGTTAAAAATTTAATTTTCGATCACAACTTATCAAATTAATTGGTCACAAATTATTTTAAAGTCACAAATGAAAAAAATTATAGGTTACAGATTTTTAATTGGTCACAAGTTAAGAAAATTTGTTGGTCACAGATTAACAAATTTTAAGGTCACAGTTAAATACTTAGCCACGGATAACTATATAGTTGGTCACATACACCCAAACATCTGTCTCCCAATCCCATTACACCACCAATACTTGGTCACGGATTGATATAGTTGGTCACATACACCTAAACACCCATCCCCCAATTCTAAAACACCACCAATACTTGATCACAGATCGACCAAATAGTTTGTCACATAAACTCTTCGTCCTATCCGCCCGCCACTGCCACCAATAGTTAGTCGACCAACAATAACACCATCGACAACCAACCACCAACAACAGCCACACACAGAGATTCGCTCTCCACAGCCACACACGGAGATCCGCCACACCACAGCCGAGAAACCACCACAAAATCACAATCAAAAAATCGTTGCACCACCATCGAGCGAAGACCTCCACCGCCACATCGAAGACCCACAGCACCTCCACCATGCACCCACTACTACGCCACCGCAAAATCACAACAAAAAAAAACAGTCTGTTGTTAGATCTCTGCCGGGCGAAGACTTCCACCGTACACACCATCGCATCGAAGACCCACAGCACCTCCACTGCCCGCCATACCTACACAGCGTCGGACGCTGCACACCCACAGCAGCGTCGCGCACCCATCAAAGATTTGTTCCCACCCTAAAGCATTTTACATGAAGCAGTGAAGGAAGAAAATAAATTTGTGCTTCCTTCCAAAACATTTTGAAATTGCTATGTGAGAAAAATAGATTATTGGGTCGTTTGGAAAAATGGTTAATAAAATTGTTTGAGGGGTTTAAGATATTGGACATTGACAATTGGTTCGAGATATTGGGCACTGGTAGGTCTTCCCAACTTGTCATTTTCTGAGTAGATGTTGAGCAAAGCGAAATAAAATCTTTGTGCAAGAACTATCAACTCACATTTGGAAATTGTCTTGGATAAAAATTGTGTGCTTCCAGGTAGATGATTGACTTTTTATTTATTGCTTTTGTATCAGGCACTTAGAGGGTTGGAGGTGTCTTGCCATGTCACGTGCCCGTGCTTTTGGAAATCACATGCTGAAGCAGTTTGTTGTGGCTGAACCTGAGATTCAAGTAGTCTTATTTATTACTATTTTACTGCTTTTATTGTGGGTCGTAGCAGCGCGAGACGCAGCAGCGTTGAACTGCTGGCAATTAGCAGCGGGACGCTGCTGATCGCAACAGGAGGAGGGAAGGGGCGACGGGCGGTGGTGGTGGTGGTGGTGGGAGGAGGAGGCAGGTTGGGAGGGTGGGAGGGAAAGAGAGAAGAGAATGAGGTAACGCCGACAAGGAGGGGGAGGGAGAAGGGGAGAAATGGAGCAGGCGGCGTGTGGAGAGAGTGAGATGGTGGAGATAAATTGATAGATTTAGGGTTTGAATAGATTTAAGGTTTTAATTTATTAAAATGATAAAAACCTGAAAAATGAAAAATAAAGTGAAAACCTGATTTTTTAAAAACTCAAACTAAAGGTCTCATTTTTGATAATTTTCCCTTATGGTTTTGGTGTCAAATTTCTGGATCCACTTAAGTTCGGTTGACGGGTCCTATTGTACTCAGATCTAGGGGTGGGGATTGGGTCAGGTTTGACCCAAAACTGACCCGACAAACTCGATTTTGGGCCTTTCAAGACCCGAACCGACTCGGTTCCTATTCGGGTCGGGTCCAACAGTTTTTTTTTAGACATCCCAATTCATTAATTGATTTAAATATAAATAATACTTTTGTCATTTCAATAAGAAATTTCCAATGAAATAATATTTATCATTCATACAACACAATCAACTACAATTGAAAATTACAATTTTTTACTAAGAATAAGTCTATAATTTGAATTTTTCCACAAACAAAAATTAAAGCATACATCTCAAATAATTATTTTCTCATACTAATAAAATCAAACACTATAAATCGTCATTAATTACGAAAAGTAAATACTAAAATATTAATAATATCATACTACTAAAACCAAACACACTAAAAATTATCATTAAGAACAAAAAATAAATACTAAAATATTACAGTCAACCAATACTTAAAAATATACAGTAATCCAAATTTATAAATAAAAAAAATAATACTAATCCAAAATTCAAATTTTTAAAAAATTAAACAATAAAGTAGAGTATTATAATTTTCGATTCTTGCATAGCTTTAAGTAACATTCCTACAAAATAATATAAACGTCTAAAGAAAAAAATTAATAAAAAATCATAAATGCATGAATCACTTGGATTTAGCCTTCATTTGATTTCTCTGATTCCTACATCTCTACAAAAAAAAAAATTTAAATTAACAATAAATTATATAAAACACATTTATTTAACATAATTCATGGCATAACTATAATTCTATTACATTCGTCCAATTTTTTATATAGCTCAACATCTTCCATATAAAATCTCTCCATTATTGAAAACTTTTTAAGCCAGTTTATTCGCTTATAAGTGAACATATTTCATTAGAATAAACATTAGAGCTCACATGCAATGAAGTACTAAATTTCAAAGTTACTTCATAAAAGCCTTGAAGGAACTTCACAAAAACAGAAGCATTTTTCCAGTCAAAAGTTCTAGGAGGTCCACCCCCTCTTTTACCACCATCATACTCCTGAAAATAATTAAAATATTGCATATCATCCTCTTCTAACCTTTCAAATGCTTTTTGGAATTTTAAAGCGGCTTCCCAGTCAGAAGTTCTAGGAGGTCCACCCCCTCTTTTACCACCATCATACTCCTGAAAATAATTAAAATATTGCACATCATCCTCTTCTAACCTTTCAAATGCTTTTTGGAATTTTAAAGCGGCTTCCAACATCAAATATGTGGAATTCCACCTAGTTGGTACATCCAAAAATACAAGTGATTTACAATTAATTTTTCTTAACTCGCACACTCCTTAAATTTTTGTTCTCTAGTAGGAGAAGATTTAACATATTTCACTGCATTGCGAATACTAATAATTGATGCATGTGCTTCTTTCAATCCCTCACATACAATCAAGTTAACAATATGTGCACAACACCTCATGTGCAAATATTTTCCATCCAAAACACACACATCCCTACTCCTACCAATCATCTTCCTCTTGAGATAAGAAATGGCCGTTTCATTTACAGATGTATTGTCAACCGTGATTGTAAACACTTTCTCAATACCTCATAAACGCAAACAATTCTCAATAGCTTTACCAATTGTTTCACCTTTATGATTAGCAATCACTCAAAAGTTCAAAATCCGTTTATGAAGCTTCCAATCAGAATCAACAAAGTGTGCAGTAAGAGACATATAGTTAACGTTTTGAATAGAACTCTAAGTATCAGTAGTAAGAGAGACTCTTTGACGTTTCTTTGTCAATTGCAATTTTTGATCCAAATACAATTGATAAATATCTCTAACAATAGTCCTACGAGAAGGAGGATCAAAATTCGGACATGCTACTTGACAAAATTTTCTAAACCCCTGACCTTCGACAAAGCTAAAAGGTAGCTCATCAATTATTATTATCTTAGCACATGCAAGTCTACATTCTTCTTTATTGAAGCCAACAGCTATAAGATTGTTCCCATCACCCTCAGTTGGACTTTTTTGCCTTTTATCTTCCATCCTTCCCGGATACTTTTTACAATGAAGAACCAAATGATTCCTTAAGGTACTAGTCCCACACTTCCTAGCCCCACAAACATAATCTTGCCCACAATAGTTGTATGTACACCTAACATCTTCATCTTTTGGATCTCATATAATAGTGAAGTATTCCCA